ACACCATAAGTGATTGCATTTAGCACTTAACCCTTTAAGTTAGATATTACGATGGTTTAGGTGACAAGATAGGGTTCAGATTTAACCCCAAACACTCTAGCACCTCAAGACTTTGGCCATTCTGCTCTTTTTTTTATCCCGTTGTGCTAAGCAAATCTTCTTTGGGCCACAGGTTCTTGATCTTGAAATAAAGAGGTGTTGGAATAGTTGATTTTGAAGGTCTCTGCCACCCTCAACATTTCCTGAGTCCACGAATCCACTTAGGACACCACCTCCCTGCTGGGAACCATCTCTTCTCTTACATTTAATCACTACACTTGCCTTTGTCCTCTGGCCAACCTTCATTTACTCCGTGACAGTGCTTCAGCCAGAGGACACCAGAGCCACACAGACAGTTCCCACAAAACAGCCACAGAGGTCCTTGCGCACAAGACGCTTGCCGGGTCCCGGGCCCCACCGAGCACGCGCAGAGGCATTGGGACGCCAGTCGTTCTGACGGTTCACGGCACGAGAACCAGATGTGAATGGGTTATAACTTATTCATGACTAGGATCTAAAATAGCTTGTTATAAGTAATTCACAGCACCACGTGAGTACTGGGTGTACTATTTTTTTTTCAGATTCTAAAATTATTACCCTATTTCCACAAGCTTTGTGTTGAGAGAAAAGATAAGTCTACTTTTGATTGCCCAGGAACAAAGAAGTGTCCCATTTTTAAATGGTGAGACCTTTTCCTATCAAAGACATTCCATTTCTTTTAGCCTAAGAAATGTGGTCCAGGGATACTTTAAAACATTGTTTCTGGCGTATGAAGAAATTACAGGATGAGGTCATGTTCAAATCAGTGCTGCTGCAGTGCTTTTTGATTAATGCCACGTAATTCTTGTTGAGATCTCCAGTCGGTACCATCGGGGAGCCGTATAAAAGTAACTGAAGCCCGTACGTAATTTGGGAGTTCAGACACGAAGGAAGAATGGGGGCTGATTAGGCGGCGGTGGAGGCGGGGCGGGAGGTGGTTTGCCAAGAGCAGTGCAGATTGCGGGAACCAGTGTGCAGAGGCCCCGTGCTGGGGCTGCGGCAGATGCCAGGGGTGAGAGGGCAGCAGTGTAGGTGGTATGGGGCGAGGCCAGGGCAGGGGTGGGCAGCTGAGCAGGCAGGGCCACTGGGAACATGGGGCTTGACCCCCAAGAGCATCGGAGGGACTTGGCAGCAGGAACTAAAATCCCGCATGCGCACGGCATGGCCAAAAAAAAAAAAAAAAAAAAAAGCAAGACTTGTTGGTGAGTCTTTCTGCCGTACTGGGTGGTCGGCAGAGCCTCCCCGGTCGCTGACTGTCCCACCTGGAGCATAGGGAGGGTGGGTCCCACCTCCGTGAGCAGTGCGGCCCCAGGCTCGCCCCGCGCTGTGCTGGGGGAACGCTGCAGCCCTTCCCGCCTAGAGGCTGCTGCAGTGGACTGCGCACATTCCCCCCGCCAGCTTCAGAGCACTGGAGATCGTGTGCGTGCTTTGTGGAAAGCATCTGAATTTCTGCCTGAAGTTCAAGTCCACCCCTGCCCTCCGGGTTCTCACCCACAGGATCTGAGGGCTAGGAGCAGCCTCAGGGCTCAGATGCAGCATTTCTTGATTTATGTTTTCACTTGTGGGCAGGACGTTCCTGTTTTTCCTTGGGTGTTTGTGAGAACAAACGACGTAAGTGATGGGGAAGCGCTTCGTGCTTGCGCAAGCGGAGATGGTCCATAAATAAGATCATGATGTCATCATTTATACATTAATGCCCCCAAAGGGAGGAAAGGACATTACTTTTTTTTTTTTTTTTTTTTGACATTACTTTGAATTGGGTTGAGAACTGGATGTGAGCTACTGACAGGCAATTTGTCCTCATGCGGATACAGAGCAGACCCAGTGAGGTCGGGGTCCTCACGTCTCTCTGAGAACCGTCATTAAAAGCATGTTGTCACCACGAGGTGATGTTAGTATCCCTGCCCGCTCCGGGAAGCCGTCTCGGCCAGGTGCCAACCTCTATAGAACTTGGCCCTTTTCAAGTGTTAACTTTCTGACCATATAGAGGGAACAGTAAATTCACAGAAATTTAATGTCTAGTGAATTTGCCACGGGATAAAACATGGATGTGGCCTAACCTCCAGATCACGATCAAGGTAACCTGCCGCACGGATGGTCTTGCTTTGAGATGCCCATGCCCTTTGCTTCTGCCGGGATTCCACGGGAGGAAGCAGGCAGAGTGGGGCTTGCCCTCTGGCTGCTGCCGTGGCTGGAACCGCATCCTCCACAGTGAGGGCTGCATCTCCGGGGAGAGAAGAGGGCCCACGTCCAGACCACGCTGCCTTTGACCAAGCAAATAACTGTAAAATTGCCGATGGCTCCTGATGACACTGAGAAACGAAATGGGATTGCCTCGAGACAAAAAGCTGCAGTACAAAGAGCCCACAACATGTAGTATATGCCCTTTTGACAGGGAAGGTGCAGTGTTCTGTCAGCCACGCTCTATGGGTGCCGCCCTGCACTACTGGGTGACACACGGCCGAGAGGGCCTGAGTGCCTTTTACTCAAGCAGGATGCATTATTCATCTGCAGCAGACGCCTGCACCTTACCTTCATCCATCACGCTGACCCTTTCAGGGAGGGGTAGTGAATGCTCCTTCACGTCTCTGGCTCCCATAGCCAGAGATTCTGAATCAAGCCTCCCAGGACGAACTCCATCCCTTCCTCCATGTTATCTGCATCTCTCAGCTGCGTCTCCTTGGCCTGAACAGGATGCTTCTGTAGCTTCACTCATGTCAGCTTCTGGGAAGGACTAAGTCGTTACAGTGATTCCATGTCATCAGGAACTAATGAGAAGACATTAAACCATCACCTTCTTTTAAGCAGCAGCGACTCCCTGTCCTCAGCAAGTCAGTGATACTATGTACCCTTTTGAGCTGATGAGAAAATACTGTAGTAATTTGGGTCCCATCTGGAGGTGTGACTAGTTTCCTCGGACCTAAGTGGACCTGTCTCGTGCATGTATATCCAACAACCAGAGAACGCCCCACACAGATGGCACCTCCTCCTCCGGGCCTTTTAAGTCAGCATAGAGTGTGGAAGACGAGAGACCCACCTCCAAATGGAATATCACGGGGCTGAAAAACCCTTGTCCTCTGGTTGTCAGGGCTCCAAACGGAGCCGTCAAAGCTCACTGGCCGGCTTTGCACATTATATAATCGCGCTCCTCTACTCACCTCATGTTCGTTCTTCCCCAGACTGCCTGCCCGGGCTAATGGGAAGCTTCAAGGGCACGCTTTTATCTCTGTAGTTATGATGGTGAATTAATGAATTACAGATTTAGTGCCATTCAAGTCGCCGACTCACCAAGGCAGTTAGAATGTGAATACTTATTTAAATCATATTAAATTTGTTACAAATAAAATTTAATACCAGACTGTGATGGGACTGGGGTGCCTGCTGAGGCCACATTTCCACTCCCCTCCCTGCCCCCCATGGTAGATCATAGAACACATATTTATTTCTGGTTTTGGTGACACCTCATTTTGTACCGTCAGTGCCGGACAAAACTGTTTTGCAGTTTTAGCAAATCGTGCTTTCTTTGTGCAAGGCATGCCTGTAAGTTAAGCCAGAAGCTCGTGGAAACAAGCCCCGAAGGCCTCAAGCTCCCCTGGTGCCACACCCATGCTGGACAACCCGGCGCTGGGGCCCACTGGGTTAGCAGGTGCTGGCGGTGGGCCTCCTGGGTGCCAGGCACCGTGCAAGGGCCTGGGGTACAGCAGTGACCGAGCCTGCAGTCTGCGCGTGGAGGCGGGAGACCGTTAACTAGTTGTGGGCAGGCCGTGAAGGCTTAGAGTGCGTGACCTCGCCCAGCCTGGGGGCCAGGGCTTCCGGGAGGAAGTGAACTTGGGCCGAGAAGTAAACGACACGCAGACGTTGGCTCACGGGAACAGTGGGCCCAAGGGAGGACCCGAGAGGAGCACTCCGGACAGAGGAGCCCAAGACAAGGCCCCGGGGTGCGGAGGCGCGGCCCAGCCAAGGCCCTGGAGGCTCACTGAGCAGCTGAGCACAGAGGGCACAGGGCCAGGCCCGGGACCATGTGGACCAGCCTCACTCAGAGCCGTGGGAGCCCCCGAAGATTCTGTGAAAATCACTCTGCTACGATGTGGGGACGGAATCGAGGCGGCGAGAGAGGACAGAGGGAGGATTCCGCAGCGATTCAGGTGAGGGTGGTGTGGCTTAGGTGTGGAGATGGAGAAAAGGAAGTGGACTTGAGAACTGTTTTCCAAGTAGAGTCACCAAGACGCAGCGGTGGACGCTCCAGGCCGCTGGGCAGCGAGGGGCCAACTGTACACCCGGCTCATTCTTCACCCTTCCAGACCCACTAAGTTCTGGATCAAATGTAAATAGTTCTTTCTCGTCAATGGCAAACCCCCAAAGCACAGGCTCTGCTTTCTCCATTAGCCACCAGGAGCGCAGATTTGGGTCCATCCTTTTGAACAGGAGAACAAGGCATCTCCTCTGGCGTTGCCACTTGCGAAGCCCCTTGTAGCGCCTAGGAGTCGATGTTCCCGGTGAGACAACGGAATTGATGCCAGAGTGACCGACTCAGGTTTGCTGAGCAGAAGTACACGTGGGCATCTCTACCAGAAGCTCCAGAAGCGGTCCTGCATCTGCCTCCGTTTGATGTCGAGGCTGTCCAGCTTTCGGACACTCTGCAGCCCTTCACAGCTCACACCCCGGACTTGACTTGTTCCGGGCTGGCTCCTTTGTTAGGTCAGCGTCCTCCTCCCAAGGCCACGCGCTGACCACACAGCGTCGGGATCTCAGGCACCGTGGGGCTCCAGTTAGAATTAGTGTCTGGCCCGGCAGTCCCATACAAGGAACTTGTGGCTACAGCAGGGAGACAATTCAGGGGCGGAAACCTTCCTCGCTCCTGCGGAAAGGCTGCTCTCAGCTCCCCTGAGGAAAGCTCTGGTGGATCGAAACTCAGCTCTGGCATGGCCTGCAGCCAGTTTTTAGGTAGAGCTCAAGGCCTGGGGAAATCTGATCTTCCTTCCATAGAAATGATCCTGTATTTACTCAACAACCAGTTCCCTCTTGCTGGATTTTGAGTTGTTTCCGGTCTTTTCTGACTGTACACTGCACTGTAATGACCGTCCTCCTAGCTACATCTCCTCACACAGAGGTCATTATTTCCCTCTGGTGGATTCCTAGAAATGGAACCGCTAAGTCAGAGGGAAGATAAATTCTAAGGCTCCAGATACACTTTGCCAGATCGCCTCCTGTAATAAGGTGCAGTGAACACTCGCACCCAAAACTGCACTGTTTCTTCTTAGTCACAGCTGTCTCTCGCCAGCTTCTCCCCTGACAGGTGTGTCCCTCCCAGCACGTGTCCGTGTGCACCCTTCGCCCAGGCTTTGTCTGGCACGTTCTCTGTCCTCTGCACTCCTTCACTTTCCTTTCCTCCTTCAGCCTCCTCGTGTGAATGAAAACGCGTGTCCTGGGTTCCAGGTACGCGCCGTTCTTAGCTCCAGAGCTGGGGTGTAAATATCTGTAAGCTGCGGGGCTTACAGGTAACAGAGAGTGCTTGGTGTCGCCCGGCGTGTTGCCACCTCCAGAGCGGACCCTCGTGCCACCCTGCCACACACCCGCTCACCGGAAGCCCTCTGAGAGGTGGTTCATTTGGGGGCGCTCGTTGGCCCAGCAGATTAGGAAAAAGGCACCCGAGGCTCTGTATTCACAGGAATAATTTATAGGCAGATAATCCATATTTCATCCTCAGCCTGTTTCAGTGCCGCCGTGCAAGGCGTCTTGAATTACTGGGCTATAGCGTTTACAGAATGGCCGACTGACCTCGCCACATTTCTCGAGTTACAGCGAAGGCCCTGAGCGAGTGGCTGATGATGGAGGATGGAAGCCGGCGGGGGCGGGGGGTGGGGG